GACTGGGGGAGGCGGAGGAGGGGAGGAAAACAGCTCAGAACGAACCGTAAAATAGATCTGAGTCCGTAAAAGTGCACATATCTCGAAAACGTATCAAAATAGATCCTTACCACCAAAAACCACGGATCCAAAAAACAGATCCTGCGGGCCACAGGGTACTGGCCCACGGAACGTGTGGGAAGGTGCGCCGATATAGACGTGTTTTGCCATTGGGGCCTTCGGTGGAGCCCCTCTAAGGGGCCACGAAACGCGTGATGGGTGTGCCCAAATGGGCGATGCCACGCACGTGATTCTTGCCGCTGGGGCCTTCGGTGGAGCACCCTCATGAGGCCACGAAGCGCGGTCACGCATGCGATTCTTGCCACTGGGGCCTTCCGTGGCGCTCCCTGTGGGACCACGAAGCGCGTGAGGGGTGTGCCCACATAGGCGACGTCACCCATGTGAGTGTTGCCATTGGGGCCTTCGGTGGAGCTCCGTATGGGGCCACGAAACGCGTGAGGGGTGAGGGGTGTGCCCAAATGCGTCGTCGTCGTCGGCAGCGGCGGCGGTGGCTGCGTCGGCGTCGGCGTCGGCGTCGGCGTCGGCGTCGGCGTCGTCGTCAACGTCGTCAACGTCGTCATCGTCGTCAGCGTAGCCAGCGTCGTCAACGTCGTCGCCGTCGCCGTCGTCCGCCGTCCGCCGTCCGTCGCCGTCGCCGTCGTCGGCGGCGGCGGCGGTGGTTGCGTCGGCGTCTGCGTCGGCGTCGTCGTCGTCGTCAACGTCGTCAACGTCGTCATCGTCGTCAGCATAGTCAGCGTCGCCAACGTCGTCAACGTCGTCAACGTCGCCGTCGCCGTCGTCGTCCGCTGTCCGCCGACTGTCGCCGTTTCCGTCGCCGTCGCCGTCGTCGTCGTCGTCGGCGGCGGCGGCGGTGGTTGCGTCGGCGTCGGCGTCGGCGTCGGCGTCGTCGTCAACGTCGTCATCGCCGTCAGCGTGGTCAGCATCGTCAACGTCGTCAACGTCGCCGTGGCCGTCGCCGTTGCCGTCGTCGTCGGCGGCGGCGGCGGCGGTGGCTGCGTCGGCGGCGGCGTCGGCGTCGGCGTCGTCGTCAACGTCGTCATCGCCGTCAGCGTGGTCAGCGTCGTCAACGTCGTCAACGTCGCCGTCGCCGTCGCCGTCGACGTCGTCGGCGGCGGCGGCTGGTGCGTCGGCGTCGGCGTCGGCGTGGGCGTCAACGTCGTCAACGTCGTCATCGTCGTCAGCGTAGTTAGCGTCGTCAACGTCGTCAACGTCGCCGTGGCCGTCGGCGTCGCCGTCGTCGTCCGCCGTCCGCCGTCCGTCGCCGTCGCCGTCGCCGGCGCCGGCGCCGGCGGCGGCGGCGGTGGCTGCGTCGGCGTCGGCGACGGCGTCGGCGTCGTCGTCAACGTCGTCATCGTCGTCAGCGTAGTCAGCATCGTCAACGTCGTCCGCCGTCCGTCGTCCGTCGCCGTCGCCGTCGTCGGCGGCCGCGGCGGCGGTGGCTGCGTCGGCGTAGGCGGCGTCGTCAACGTCGTCAACGTCGCCGTGGCCGTCGCCGTCGTCGTCGTCGTCGTCCGCCTTTCGCCGTCCGCCGTCCGTCGCCGTCGGCGTCGGCGTCGGCGTCGTCGTCAACGTCGTCAACGTCGTCATCGTCGTCAGCGTAGTCAGCGTCATCAACGTCGTCAACGTCGCCGTCGCCGTCGTCGTCCGCCGTCCGCCGACTGTCGCCGTTTCCGTCGCCGTCGCCGTCGTCGTCGTCGGCGGCGGCGGTGGTGGGTGCGTCGGCGTCGGCGTCGGCGTCGACGTCAACGTCGTCAACGTCGTTATCATCGTCAGCGTAGATAGCGTCGTCAACGTCGTCAACGTCGACGTCGCCGTGCGTCGCCGTCGCCGTCGTCGTCGGCGGCGGCGGCTGGTGCGTCGGCGTCGGCGTCGGTGTCGTCCTCATCGTCAACGTCGTCAATGTCGTCGTCGTCGTCGTCGTCGTCAGCGTAGTCAGCGTCGTCAACGTCGCCGAGCGCGGCCCTGCACTCACCGAGCGCGTTCCGCTACTCGCAGAGTGCCTACAGTGTGCCTCGGCGAGGCGCAGCCGCTGGAAGGCACCCCGAGGCTGGAAAGCCGCCGAGAACCGACGAGAGCGTCCGATAACCCCAGACCTCGACCCTCAAAACCCCAAACCTCGGGCCTCCAACACCTGACGAGAAGGCCTGGAGACGTTAAACCTCCAGCCTCAAACACCTCCAACCTCAGGCCAGTCCTCCCTTACAGTCAACCCGCACAGTAAGGATGAGCGACTTTCCAATGTTACTCTTGCATCCTTCCCTTCTGGCCAATCTTTGGCCGCTTTCGCTGGCCGCGCCCCGCTCGCAGAGTGTCGGCATTTTAAGGCCCTTGCAGCCTTATCGTGCGTTCTTATCATACGGGTTGACTGTGCTCGCAAACGTCGGGACAAGAACACACGTTTGCTTCGACGTAATGAATCGTGGATCCCCCGCGGCGGATCGAGGCCATTTGCGAGCAGTTACCCTGCGAGGAGTGGAACGCGCTTGCATATGCACGGACCAAGAGACGCAGGAGGACAGAAAAGAACAGGAGGAGGCCGGGGAACCACAAATACGATATACATTAATTGTTGTCGGCGGTCCGCGGCAGAAGGATGTTGGTCCTTCTCAAGCCCGCGGGGGCTCTTGAGGGCCCGAGGGCCGTCAGACAGGCCTCGGAACAAATCAGCGAACACTTCTGCCACATTCATCTGTCAACGCCTCCCCCTCCCCCCAATGTTCAAAGGTGGCGGTGGGTCTGATGAGATGCACTTCGACCGCAGTCTCCCCCGCGAGTGCCGACATTGAGTTTGGGGGGGAGGGGGAGTGTTCAGTAATTGTTTCCCTCTACCAGAAGGCGACTCGGGATAAAAAGCCGGTTCCTGGGAAGAGGTTCGGACCTCTGGGGAGCGGCGTTGTGGAAAAAGCACAGCGTCGGATGTCTGGGGATGTCTGAGGGGGCGACGGGTGGGGTCGTTTTGAAAGGGATCGTGGTCTTGGGAGCGGGGACTTCGTTCCACTCGTGCTTCAACGATGATCCGACTCACCGCTCGGATTCTCAGTGAGGCACAGGCCTCTAAAGCACCCCTCACGGGGCCCAGAGGGCCCTAGGACGACCAGAATGGCTCGAAAAGCCGGCGGGACACGTTGGGTCATGACCACTTGGCAACACCCGACAAAGTTGGGTGCGCCCCGAACCTCAGATGTTCGCTCCCTGCGCAGACCGTGGAGATTCCCATCGACGACGTGCGAGCATCTAGCTGATATGTTCTCAAAATAGGCTTACCCTACAGGAGTAGTAGCTCTAACCCTACTAATTGGTCCGTTGCCCCCCCCCAAATTCCTATGCCCCCCCTTTCCTATGGCCTATGCCTCCCCCCTAACTCCTATGCCTACGCCTATGCCTATGCCTGCTTGCTTGTTTGCTTGCGCGCTTGCACGCTTGCTTGCTTGCTTGATTGCTTGCTTGCGCGCTTGCTTGCACGCTTGCTTGCTTGCTGAGTTGCGGATTCCATGCATGGTTGATTCCTCTGATTCCTTGAATTGAGTCGTCTATAATCTATGTGGAGTCAACGCTGGCTGATATATTTATTTGCGCGCAGCAGGTGTCGATTGCGCATGCACTCGGCGCGCAAGCTGCCCGCGAATGGTCGCGCGTCGGGGGCCCCGTTTCCACGCGGTGTGCCGCGCTGGGGGGCATGCTTTCGCCATCCCGTAGGGTCACCGCGCCGTCGTGAGCAGGACCCCTTTTCTTTGTCGGCGCTCGAACGCGCGTGCAGAACGTGTCCGCGACCCTCGTGTATGCTGGTAAGGTGTGGGCGAGTATCGGCGGTACGCCCGTTGCCACAGGTGCTGCCCTCGCTCGTCGTCCTCATGTCCGTCACCATCCTGGGGTGTTACGTTCAGCCCCCGTTCTCTTCCGTCTCATATATCCCGTGCTTATTCTCTGTAACAGTTTACACCCAGGACACATGCGTCAACGGCGAACGCTACTGCGGATACTGCAAGGAAGCTCTTGCCATGGTGCACATCGACAAACAGAAGCCTCCACCCCCGATTGCGCATACTCTTGCTGCCGGCATTCGAAGGTGCGCAGCGACGCAGCAATGGAGGGCAGCGTTGCAGCTGTTCCAGGATGCGGGGCAGCGGCGTGTTCAAGCAGACACAATCGTTTACAATGTAGTCATCAGTTCATGTGGGAAAGGAAAGCAATGGAAGCAGGCTGTGTCGTTGCTTAAGGACATGGCAAAGCACAGCGTCGAGCGCGACATCATCAGCTACAGTGCTGGAATTACCGCGTGCGAGAAGGGTCGGGAATGGCAGCAGGCTTTGTCGGTATTCAGCATGTTGCGGGGGGCGGGATTGCAGCCAGACGTCATTATTTTCAGCGCTGCGATTAGCGCGTGTGAGAAAGGAGGACAATGGATCTACGCGTTGTCGTTGTTGCAAGAGCTGCGGGAAGTGAGATTGCGACCGAACGTGATCAGCTACAACGCAGGGGTCAGCGCATGCGGGGAGGGTAAACAGTGGCAACGCGCGCTCTCCTTGCTGAGCGAGCTTTGGCATGCGGCGCTGGAGCCCGATGTTGTCGGCCACAATGCTGGAATCAGCGCTTGCGGGAGAAGCGAGCAGTGGCAGCAGGCGTTGTTATTACTTTGCGATCTGCGGGCAAAGCGTTTGGAACCGACGGTGGTCAGCTTCAACGCTGCAGTCAGCGCGTGTGAGAAGGGCAAGCAGTGGCAGCAAGCGCTGTCATTGTTGAGGGATCTGCGGGCATCGAAGTTGGAGCCGAATGTCATCAGCTTCAGCGCCGGAACGAGCGCGTGCGAAAAAAGCGGGCAGTGGCAGCATGCGTTGTCTTTGTTGGGCCAGCTGAGGGGGGCCAAGTTAGGACCGAGCGTCATCAGCCACAGCGCTGGGATAAGTGCGTGCGAGAAGGGCGGCCAGTGGCAGTTGGCATTAATGTTGATAGCCGAACTACGCCAAGAGAGTGTGCAGATGGACGTAATCTGCTACAGTGCTGCAATTAGCGCATGCGAAAAAGGTGAGCAGTGGCAGAAGGCAATGGCTTTGCTTAGCCAGCTGTTGGAATCTAAGTTGGAGATGAATGCTATCAGCTATAATGCTGGAATTAGTGCGTGTGAAAAGAGCGGTAAGTGGGAGCAGGCTTTGTCGTTGTTGGGGCAGCTGCTGGAAGCAAAGGTGGAACCAGACATTATCGGTTTCAGTGCTGGGATCAGCGCGTGCGCAAATTGCGGGCAGTGGGAGCCAGCCTTATATTTGTTGAACGACTTGCGGAAAGCGAGGTTGGAAGCGAACCACATCAGTTGCAGCGCGGCAGTCAGTGCGTGTGGAAATGGTGGGCAGTGGGAATGGGCATTGTCCTTGTTGAGAGAGTCGAGAGACGCAAAACTGAAACAGGACGTAACTTGCTACTGTGCTGGAGCCAGCGCGTGTGAGAAAGACGGGCAGTGGCAGTGGGCGTTGTCTTTGTTAGACCAGTTGCGGGACATAGAGTTGGAAGCAGACGTCACGAGTTGCAACGCCTGCATAAGCGCGTGTGCGAAAGGCGGGCAGTGGCAGTGGGCCTTGTCGCTATTAAGCGATTCACGGCACGCGAGGTTGGAACCGGATGTCGTCTCTACTACATTGCAGGGCCCAGTGCGTGCCAGAAGGGCGCAGGCTCCAATGTCTCAAAACCGCCCCGGGCTGGCCCCGGGCCGCCCCGGGCCGCCCAGGCAGGCTCCAGGACATGTCGGGAGGGCCCCCAGAAGCCCCCAAGACGGCCCCGGAGAGCCCCGGCACGCTTAAAGATGGGCCCAAGACGCCCGAGATTCGCCCCAGACGGCCCAAGAGGCGTCCAAGACGCCCGAAGAGGCCTCCTAAGAGGCCTCCCAAGAGGGCCCCAAGCGACAGAAATCGTCGATTTCTACTGTGTTTTTCAATGTTTTCGGCCTCCTCGCCTCTTCGGCTTCCCGACGCTCCAAGACGGCCCAAGAAGTCCCCCCGACCGCTCCAAGACGGCCGAAGAGGACCCCAAGAGAGCCCCAAGACGGGCCAGGAGCGCCCCCAGACGGTCCCAAGACGCCCCAGGACGGCCCCAGGACGGCCCAGGACGGCCCGCCCAAGAAGGAGCGGCCCAAGACGGCCCAAGACAGCCCAAGAGGCGCCGAGGCGGGTCTCAGACGGCCCCAAGACGGCCCAAGAGGCACCCAAGACGGCCCGAGAGGGCCCTAAGAGCCCCCCCGGGAGGCCCAAAAGAAAGCCGAAGAGGCTCCGAAACGGCCCCCACGAAGCCTTCAGTGCCTTCAGAACTCCCTCCAGGAGCGGGGGAGCGGACGAGAGGCGACAGGCATATCGCAGGCAAAAACGCCCCAAGAGATCCCCAAACGGCCCCCACGAAGCCCTAAGTGGCCTCAGAATTGCTTCCAGGAGGGGGGGAGCGGACGAGAGGCGACCGGCATATCGAAGGCACAAAAGAACAATGTTGGACGCTCCGAGGGCCTTCGATGTTTCTCCGTTGGGGAGAGTCGTCGTAGGATCGACGATTGCCGACCGAGGGCAGCGAATCCAGTGGAGGCCCAAGAGGCCCCCAGGAGCCCAAAAGAGATCCCCAAGAGGTGCCACGGGGCTTAAAAACTGCTTCGAAGCGAGGGGGGCGGACGAGGGGACCGCCTCAGGAGGTTTTGGACGGTTTTGGGCCTCAAAATCGTCCGCTTTACGACGGTTTTGGAAGGATTTTGGCCTTCTCGCCTTTTCCGCTTTCCGACGCTCGAAGACGGCCCAAGAGGCCTCCAAGAGCGCCCCAGAACGGCCCAAGAGGTTTCCAAGAGCGCCCCAAGACAGCCCAAGAGGGCCCCAAGACGACCCAAGAGACGCTCAAGACGGCCCACGAGGGCCCGAAGACAGGCCCAAGAGGGGGCCAAGAGGGGGACCACGGACCGAAAATCCGAGCCTTCCGCCCCAAGAGGGCGCCAGGAGGCCCAAACAGGCCCCCAAGAGGCCCCAAGGGGCCGCCAAGAATCCCCCGAAGAGGCCCCAGGAGGCTCCCAAGGAGCCCAAACGAGGCCCCTACAGAGGCCCCAACAGCTTCCAAAATGGCCCCGAAGAGGCCTCGAGCCCGCCTCCGAGCTTCCTCGCCGCGAGGGTGCCAACACGGCCCCAGACCGGCCCAGGACGGCCCAAGGCGCGCTCAAGACGGCCCAAGACGATTCCAAGACGGTCCCAGGAGGGTGCGCCCAGGACGGCCCAAGGACGCGCCCGTTCGGGGCCTCAAGACGGGCCAAGATGGCAAGAGAGTCCCAGCTGGCAAAAATCGTTAATTTTCCATTTTTTACTGTTACACCCTTTGCGTTTCCCGCCGTTTCGGCGGTCCGATGCACCAAGAGGCCCCAGAAAGTCCCAGGAGGGTCCGAGGAACCGCCCAGGAAGGCCCCAAGACGGGCCAAGACGGACCCAGCACAACCCAAGGCGCGCTGCGACGGCTCAAGACGGCTCCAAGACAGCCCCAAGAGGGTGCCAACACGGCCCCTGCTGGGCCCAGGACGGCCCAAGGAGGCGCACAGGAGGGGCCCAAGACGACTCCAAGGCGGCCTCCTCACGGTCCCAGACGGCTCCAAGACAGCCCCACGAGGACCCCGATGGGCCCAGGACGGCCTACGGACGCGCCCATGAGGGGCCCACGACGAACCAAGACGGCCCCATCAGGGCAAACGGCGCCCTCAAGACGGGCCTAGACGGCTCCAAGACGGCCCTTTGAGGGAGCCAACGCGGCCCCACACCCTTCGGGCGCACACTTGGGGGGGCTGGGAGCTTGCGACAAGTCTCCCACATTCATTGTCCTGCCCCATTCTGTTCGCCTGGAGGCCTCCTCCAACCCTGTGGGCGAACAAGAGGAATCCCAGCGGGACGCCAACCCTGGGGCCCGTGGGCCCCGCGCCGCTTGGGCAGAAGACGAACGCCGGGTCTGACAGGCCAGCTACCGCCCCCCTTTGCCCGATATGCTGTGCCATTCTGTTCCCCCAGGGGCCTTGGCAAACTCTTCGGGCCAAGCAGACCGGACCCCTGGGACAGCAGCCAATTGATATGACCCTGGGACCTCTCCGCATTCTTCGGACGAGCATCTGGGGGGCCCAGGAGATTCGGACATGTCTTCCCCATTCCTTGCCCTGTCCCGTTCTGTTCGCCCGAAGGCCTCCACAGACCCTCTGGGCGAACAGAATGGGACATGGCGAACAAACCCTCCCGTTGGCGGTGATGCGACTGGATCGCACCATCAAGGCGCGCCCGGAGGTGATGGCCGACCCAACAGCGGTTTCTCTTAAGAGTTCACTGGATTTCAAATTTTCTTGAAGCTCTCTTGGGCCCTCCCTGTAGATCCTTGCGAGCCTCCCCGGCGCTTTCGGTGGCTTTCCCCGATGGCCTCCCGAGCCCTTCCCCGAGCGCTCCTGAGACGCCTCAGATGGGCTTCGACTTCGACGCACATCCCCGAGAGACTTCGAAACTGTCCTCAATAGGAGGGGGGTGAACGAGCAGTGCGCTGGGCCAAGCTGCTGCAGCGCTGCAAGAGCTCGGACACGAAGGCGCGGTCTCGCTGCCGCCGCCCGAGCCGCCGCCGTGTTTGTAGATTTTCGGTACAATCTGCGCCGTTCCTCCGAGAACCATTCCAGAAAGATGTCTTGGACGGAGTCCACGGGTCAGCCCTAGTCAGCTACAGCGCAGGGATCGGCGCGTGCGAGAAGGTCGGGCAGTGGGAGCAAGCACTATCGTTGTTGAGCGAAATGCGGAATGCAATGTTGATGCCAACTGCCGTCAGCTACAATGCTGCAATCAGCTCGTGCGACAAAGGCAAACAGTGGCAGCGGGCGCTGTATCTGCTGAGCGAGTCGGTGGGAGCACTAGTGGAGCCAAGCGTTATCGGTTATAACGCAGGTGTGAGCGCTTGCGAGAAATGTGGGCAGTGGCGGCATGTTTTGTCGTTGGTGTTTGGTGACATGTTAGCGGCGAAGCTAGAGCCCGACGTCATCGCGTGCACCGCTGGGATCAGCGCGTGTGAGAAAGGTGGGGTGCGCAGCACCTGGACAAGTGCTGGACAGTTGTTGGTACCCTGGTCTCCGTGAAAGAAAGAAACGGGCACCGCTGGGATCAGCGCGTGTGAGAAAGGTGGGGTGCGCAGCACCTGGACAAGTGCTGGACAGTTGTTGGTACCATGGTCTCCGTGAAAGAAGGAAACGGTGTCTGTCCTTCCTCGTCTCTTCATACATCAACGTAGATAGGACGAACAGGAGGGTGAGGAGCTCGAGCGAAGGGGCGTTCCCAGATCCGTCCCGTAAGGGGCAGTAGCATCATTCGCTCTCGCGTCCGCAACGCCTGCTCAATCCCAAGCTACACAACCCCATCGGAGATGTTCGCGCCATGTCGCTTCCTGGACCTTCGAGGATCAATTTGTTTCGAGATTCGGTCCCCTGGTGCTCTCGTTCCTTGCGACGGGGGTAGCTTTTCATCCGAAGTGGTTGTCTGGCGGCCCCGGAGCCCAGAACGGCCCCCTCGGCTCCGAAAGGTTCACAAAAAACAGAGAGAACCCCCCCACAAAAAACGGGCGCGTAGTCGCCAGTTGTCCAGTTCACCAGTAGTCCGGTTCACACCCCGGCACGAAGTTCGTGGAGACGCTTTTGCTCTCCGGGTAGGCGCAAGGTTTTTTTTTGCGTCCCTTGGGAGGACCCAGCGGGTCGGAAGCCTAGCCGGAGGAGAGACTGACAGCCAGCATTTGGGAATACAGGACCAGTCGGCTTGGAAGAGGCTCCACGCTTTGTAGACTCGCTTCTCGACAGTCGGTTGCACACACACACACACACACAAGCCATGCAGCACGGCGCCCCGGCAGAAAGAAGACAGTGACCAAATGATTCGGCGCTCGTGCCACCACCAGAGTTACGCTGTGCATCAGGTGCGTGCATTGCTCTTTCTAAGAGGGGGGAGAAGGACGAGGAGAAGAGATGAACCTCAAAGATTGCATGACTCTTCTGATTCCTCTTACGTTAAAATGCATGCGCATTGGGCCCACCAGTTGAGGCCTTGCAAATGTCGCTATTTCGGGAAATCACGGCCAAGCTCAAAATATTCGTGTCTGATTGTCTGGAGTTCCTATCGTATCTAATGATTCACCGCGCGTGCAAAAGTTCACTCCATAGCGCGGCCCCCACTTCGGACAAACTTGTTGCGTTCGCGACAAAGAGTACATAATTGACAAGCTCGCGTTCCAGTGCAAAGACATGAGTGTTGCAGTGTGTCTAGGTTGTTGCAGCCTGCCTGTGGAAATTGTGTTGGTTCCGAGATGTAGGGCAGTGTTGGGTAACCATGGTGTCGAGTGTACGAAGTATGAGGACATGCTATAGCAGCACACGCGCAATGGCCTCCGTATCGTTGTCGGTGCCGGCCCACACGCGCACGTTACATTGCAGTGGCTTGCGGCCGCCCCCGCCGAACTTGAGAAGTGAACAGCTTGGCACGAGGCGGCAGGGGGATCTGTGCAACGGAAAGGGACGTTTCCCCCCAATCAGTTTTTGGCCCAAGGATTCTTCAGTTTTCTGTGAAGAGACAAATGGTACCAGGCCCAGCCGGCCGGCTAGCCTTGCTTGGGGTTGTTCGGGTTTCTTCTTGTTGGTCTCCCCAAATCTTCCCCCAATAATGCCTTTTTTTTTGTTTTAAGGGCTTCACATTTGCTTGTGAAAAGGCGATGGTGAAGAACAGATGGAGGCCTGAGTGACCGGCTGTTCTCGGAGTTATGTGGTCTTGTTTCGTGAATGCGATTTTCTTCGGGGTGGTTTGGTTCTTTATTGTTGCGTTCCTCCTGGGTGCTAGGTCGTGTTTCCGTACTGTGGGTTTCTTCGGGGTTGCTTGATCGTGTTTCTTTCTTCTGGTCTGGCGTTGACTTGTTACTGCATGCACCAGGTTGTTTGGTCTTTACCCCGTACGGTATTATTCGGAGTTGTTCGGTTTTGTTGTTGTTTCATTCCCCAGATTGTTTGGGGTTCTTATTGTACTGCATTCCTTGGGTTGTTTAGTTGTTGTTTTTCGGGCCTTGCAATGCCAAACAACGCCCAGCAAAGCCAAGTAGCGCCAAGCAATGGCAAACAACGCCTTACAGTGCCAACCAACGCCAAGCAACGCAGAGCAATGCCAAGCCACGCCAGCAACGCCAAGCAAAGGCAAACAACGCCTTACAGTGCCAACCAACGCCAAGCAACGCAGAGCAATGCCAAGCAACGCAAAGGAACGCCAAGCAACTCCAATCGATGCCAAGCAATGCCAAGCAATGCAAAAGGAAGCGTTAGCCCCATTGGAGTCGCGCCGAATGCATTAACCCGAGGGCGAAAGGCTAAAGTTCCCCTGCCCATCTCGCCACTGTGCATGGGTCCTGGGACCATTTGGGGAGATCCTGTGGGAATTCTGGGGGCATTTGTGGCCCACCTGGGAGCGCCTTGGGACATCTGTTCGGCCTCGTGGAGGTTCTGAGGGGTCATGTCGGAGGGGTGGCTTCCAGCCGTCCGGCAGTGGCGTGCTTTTTTGGGGGGAGGGCGTCTTGGGGGGCCTGCGTGGGCCCCCTCGGGGGGCCTCTTAGGCCACCTTCGGCTGGTCTTGAGGGTATCCTGGACCGTCTTGGGTGCTCCTGCGACCCATCCGATCACATAGCGCTTGAAGGGATTCGGCCGCGCTTGGGGCCTCGTGGGCTGCCCCCCCCCACCCCCCCCCCGGAGGGCCCACAAGCCTCCCAGGAGTGCCAAGGACAGCTCCCAGAGGGCTCCAGTGGGCCCAGGTGGCCCAGTGATGAGCAAACTGGCCCCCAAATCGCCCGAGTCAGTCGTGTGCCCCCTGGATACCCCACTAACACACACACACACACACACACACACCCGGCGGGGAAGGGGTCAAACGAAAGGGGCTTCCTTTCGACTCGATTACGACTTGGGCACTCAGGCTGGAGACTGTTTTTAGGGTCCGGCGATAAATCGCGTTATCAGGCTCGCCCCCCCACCCCCAGGATAAGCTAATCTAGCCGGTTGTGCAGGTCCGGGGGGGGGCGCAGGGAGCTCGCAGGGATCGCTGCGTTTAACGGCACGGATGTGTTCGCAACAGCATGTTGGTATTTGGATGCACGTTGGCGAAACGTTGGGGTTTGGAGTGGCACGGGACGACGACGACGACGACCTCGACGACGACGGCGACAGACGACGAACGACGTCGACCGACGTCGTCCATAGGAATTTGGAGGTGCACGTGAGCAGCGTGTGCACAGGCACTGCGTTGTGCACAGGCAGCGAGGCGATTTGTTGCGCGCACTTGCTGCTGCTGCAGCAGGATATGTTGTGTACGCAGGCGTTGTGGCACACGCAGTCATAAGTACACGCAGGTCGCGCGGTGCACGCGAGCATCGTAATGCACCCAAGCAATATGGCGAAAACAGGCTGCGTGGTGTGCACAATTGTTGCTGCAACATCAGTTTTCATCCACGCAGGCATCCCAGGCCCCGTGGTGCACAGAAGCACTGTGGTGCACAGTCTTTGCGCAGCACCACACCTTGTGGTGTACACCGGCGCTGCGGTGTACACATCCGCTGCCGTGCACACATTCGCTATGGTGTAAACAGGCGCTGTGGGTCCAAAAGACGGGACTGTTCCCTGCGCAAGCAAGATCAATAATCACAAATGGCTCACAGAGATTCAATACGTTCGGATCCCCTGCGATTTTCTGGAGTTCGGTCCCGCCGGGGGCCCTGGAAGTGTACTCCGTTCTGTGGTGTACATCAGCACTCTGGTGCACCAGAGCTGTGGCGCACGAATATGGTGCTGAAGCAGCAACCGTGGTGCACATAGGCGTCGTCGTGTACACAAGCAGCGCGTGGTGTACACAGGCGCTGCGGTGCACACGGCTGCTGGAGTGTACACAGGCATTTTGGTGTACACAGGCATTGTTGTGTAGACAGGCGCTGCTGTGTACACAAACAGCTGCGGTGTACAAAGGCGTCGTGGCGCACGATAGACAGGCGTTGTTGTGTACACACACATGGTCGGCCAAAATAGGGAGGGGGCGCACCCGTGGCCAGAAAAAATTAGCCTGGCGAAAGACCCAACCATATGCAGTTGTGGGTATCGCATTCGGGGAAGCCCCCTATGGGGCCACGAAACGCTGTACTGGGTGGGGGGGGACGCATGCGAACTGCGCCACTGGGACCTTCGGTGGAGCTCTCTATGGGGCCACGAAACGCTGTACTGGGTGTGGGGAGGACGCATGCGAACTGCGCCACTGGGACCTTCGGTGGAGCTCCCTATGGGGCCACGAAACGCAGTACTGGACGCATGCGAACTGCGCCACTGGGACCTTCGGGGGAGCTACCTATGGGGCCACGAAACGCTGCCCTGGGTGGGGGGGGGAGGGGGGGCGCATGCGAACTGCGCGACTGGGGCCTTAGGTGGAGCTCCCTATGGGGCCACGAAGCGCTGCCCTGGGTGGGGGAACCGCATGCGGGCTGTGCCACTGGGACCTTCGGTGGAGCTCCCTATGGGGCCACGAAACGCTGCCCTGGGTGGGGGAACCGCATGCGGCTGTGCCACTGGGGCCTTCGGTGGAGCTCCCTATGGGGCCACGAAACGCTGCCCTGGGTGGGGGAACCGCATGCGGGCTGTGCCACTGGGACCTTCGGTGGAGCTCCCTATGGGGCTACGAAACGCTGCCCTGGGTGGGGGAACCGCATGGGGACCTTCGGTGGAGCTCCCTATTGCCCTGGGTGGGGGAACCGCATGCTTCGCCTTCGGTGGAGCTCCCTATGGGGCACGAAACGCTGCCCTGGGTGGGGGAACCGCATGCGGGCTGTGCCACTGGGACCTTCGGTGGAGCTCCCTATGGGGCTACGAAACGCTGCCCTGGGTGGGGGAACCGCATGCGGGCTGTGCCACTGGGACCTTCGGTGGAGCTCCCTATGGGGCTACGAAACGCTGCCCTGGGTGGGGGAACCGCATGCGGGCTGTGCCACTGGGACCTTCGGTGGAGCTCCCTATGGGGCTACGAAACGCTGCCCTGGGTGGGGGAACCGCATGCGGGCTGTGCCACTGGGACCTTCGGT